ACTGTCCCTGTTACTTATTCTTTTATTCACTAATTTATTTAAAGTAGTGAGAGGGTGAGTGTGGTGGTAGAGGTAATGAGAGATGGTGGTCCAGTTGCAGTGACCTCACATTACCTCCGCCGGTAATCACTCGACTCGCCTCTCCTACCTACTTCTGCCTTCTCCCTTCGACTTCTCCCATATTCCCCAATTATCTGTACATTCCATTCCCCCCTCTCCCCCCCTTCCCACATGACACTGCACCTTCCTCTCTCTTATAGCCCAGCACACCCTCCAGTACCTCTCCATATATGTCAACTTTTATTAATTTGGGCATCTTTATCATGCTTCTGCTGCCTAGTTATTATGGCTTGAAATCCTGTTGATGCATTCACTGCCTCTTTCACTCAGTCTTTATCCTTCAAGTTAGTGGAAATGGTAGAATGCACCAGCTTCAAGTCATCGGTTATCACTTGCACTTTCTTACCAGCTTCGTACTTGTTTATAATCTTCATTTTACCTCAAGATCAAAAGCCTTCCATTGTTTCTTGGTGTTTCCTTCAGGTGAAGTCAAGATCTTCCTTTTTGCTAACATCTTGTACTATGGGATTCACAATAAAGTACAAATTTGTACAAATATGTAGTCTTGGAGACATTGAAAGCTAGTGTACTGAGTGGCTGTAGGAAGGAATCTGAGATACAGTGGAACCTCAGCTTACGAACGCCCCACCATGCGAATTTTTCAGGATACGAACCGTTGATTGGTAGATTTTTTTGCGTCTGGATGCGAACTTCCCCCTCGAGGGAGGTTCCCTAAATAAATAAAATATTGATTTCTTTGCAAAGGTTACAGTGTGTGTTTCCATATAATATGATTGGAGCAAAGAAAGCCGCTATCATCCCGAGGCATTTCGGGCAGACTTAACTTAATACAGTGGACCCCCGACATTCGATGGCATCGACATTCAATAAATCCGACATTCGATGCATTTTAACGCAAAATTTTCACCTCTACATTCGATCGAAAACTCGCTATTCGATATGATTCGTACGAGACTTGTCCACGTGTGGCCTGAACTGCCCTGTGTGTGCCAGTGTTTACAAGCCAGCTAGTGTGCATGTATCTAAGGATACATTCGGTACATTCAATATTATCCATATTATCACTGTTTTTGGTGCTTGTTTCTGTAAAATAAGTAACCATGGGCCCCAAGAAAGCTTCTAGTGCCAACCCTTCGAGAAAAAAGGTGCTAATGACTATTGAAATTAAGAAAGAGATAATTGCAAAGTACGAAAGTGGAGTGCGTGTGTCGAAGCTGGCCAGGTTGTATTGTAAACCCCAATCAACCATCTCTACTATAGTGAGCAGTAAAATGGCAATCAAGGAAGCTGTTGTTGCAAAAGGTGCAACTTTGTTTTTGAAACAGAGATCGCTAGTGTTAGAAGATGTTGAGGATCATCTTTGTCATCTTCCTCTGTACGTTTTCCAGAGCATTTATATCCATTCTGTAATATGGTGACCAGAACTGAGCAGCATAGTCTAAATGAGGCCTAACCAAGGATATATAGAGTTGAACAACCTGAGGACTTCTATTATTTATACTTCTAGATATGAAGCCAAGAATTCTGTTAGCTTTTTTTCGAACACTAATGCACTGTTGTCTTGGTTTTAGATTACTGCTAACCAGAACTCCTAAATCCTTTTTGCAATCAGTAGTATTAAGATCTACATTACATGTATTTAGTTTATATGTCACGTGGTTATTTTCCTGTCTAACATTTAGAGCTTTGCATTTGTTTATATTAAACTGTGTCTGCCACTTCTCCGACTATTGCATCAGTCTATTCAAATCATCCTGGAGTGCTCTAGTGTCCTCATTAGAATGAATTGCACTGCCTATTTTGGTGTCATCAGCAAATTTGCTTATGTCGCTATTTATTCCCTCACCTATGTTGTTTATGTAAATTGTGAACAACAACAGGCCCAACACTGACCCCTGAGGAACACCGCTTGTGACGTGCCCCCATTCTGATTTCTCCCCATTTATGCAAACACTCTGCTGCCTATTTATCAGCCATGCCTCTACCCAGGAAAAAATTTCTCCTCCTATTCCGTGTGCCTTAAGTTTCCTCAATAGCCTCCGATGTGGAACCCTATCGAAGCCGTACTGAAGTCCATATACACAATATCATATTCATTACCATGATCTACCTCCTCAAACACCTGTCACCTGCCTTGTAAATAGGTATTACATTTGCCATTTTCCACTTATCAGGCACTATGCCAGTTTTTAGTGATACATTAAAAAGATTACCCAAAAGTATGCTAAGTTCCTCTTTACATTCCTTTAACACCCTTGCAAACAGTTCATCAGGGCCTGGGGATTTGTTAGGTTTTAGTTTCTCTTATTTGTCTGAGGACCATGTCACTAGTTACCGCAATCGTGCATAGTTTATTATCGTCCTGTTCTACATAATCTGTTATTTCAGGAATATTGCTAGTATTTTCCTGGGTGAAAACTGAGAGGAAGTACGTATTGAGAATTTCACACACATCCCTATCAGTCAGTGATCTGACCAGAGTTAATCTTAAGCGGGCCAATCTTGTCTCTAATCTTACTTCTGTATACCTGAAAGAACCCTTTTGGGTTAGTCTTTGAATCCCTTGCAACCTTAGCCTCATAATCCCTTTTTGCTTTTCTTATTCCTTTCTTTATTTCTCTCTTTAATTGAATATATTGATTTCTTAACTGCCCATCCCCTCTTTTGATACACCTATATATGCCTCTCTTTTGACCAATGAGGTGTTTTAATCTGTTGCTCATCCATTTGGGATCATTTTCGTTAGATCTAATTTCCCTGCTCGGAACAAAAGTTGTCTGGGCAGCTAGAACTATGCTCTGAAAAACGTCATATTGGCAACCAAGATCTCCTACCTGACCCATAGTCAGGACATCCCAATTTAGCCCACCCAGGTAATTTTTCACTCCCGTGAAGTCGGCCAAGCGAAAATCTGGGACAGAGTCTTGATTGGTAATTCCATGATATATTGAAACTAAGTGATTTGTGATCACTTTCCCCAAGCTCATCATTAACCTCAAGATTATTAATTAGTGACTCTTTGTTGGCAAGAACTAAGTAAAGCAGATTGTTTCCTCTAGTTGGTTCTGTCACAAAGTGCAAGCATTGTACTTCCCATTTCCAGGACTTGAGTCCAGCTAACTGGTTTGCCTGAATCCCTTCAAAATATTACCCTTCTCACACTCCAGCAGTTCATCAGGTCCCAAAAAGAATTTTGGTGGTTACTCCCACAGCCTGGCCAGTATATCACCAGTGTCAAGGTTCCTTGGTGCTGGTGAGAGGCTCTTGATCTAGGGAATTGGATCTGTGCTCCAGTTCCCAAAATTAATAATAATAATAATATTATAATAATAAGCAAGCTTCAGAACCGCGACTAGTTGGCGCAGCGAACGGCACAACATCAGCCGTGCTGTGCACGTTTACCTCACCGTGGAAGCATTTCTCGTGTTTTGCTTGCATTTTGTGCAGTTATTTTGTGGAATTTCTTTTTTCTAACCATGGGTCCTAAGAAAGTAAGTGCAAAGGACAGTGCTGAGAAGAAAAAGAGGATGATGTCCATGGAATTAAGGCATGAAATCATAGATAAACACAAGCATCTCTGCTCCAAGGTAAGTGTGTATGTACACTTTATATAACCAGTTTATTTCTTTACATTCTCTTATTATGTTTTTATACAATATTTCTTATTTATAAATACATTGTTTCAGTGTTTTCCTTATGAAATTAGTGATCTAGTGCAGTTAGCCTCACAAATATGCCATTTTCTCTTATAAGACCTCAGATGGGGAAGCATGGTAACATATGGTCAGAGCAGGAACAGGAATGGCTGCCACCACTGTTCACATAATGACATGTATTTTATTCATTCTAGAGTATATATCATGTTTCTATGTTATTTATATTGTTTATTATGTCATGTTAGATGAATTGTGATAGATAAGTAAGCCGTAGAGTCGATAATAGTGAAATATTGAAGTATTGTATTTTGTCCTGCCTCCTGAGAGCAGGAATTCCACTGGAATGGATTAATGGCATTTCAGTTAATTCAAATGAGGAAAATTTATTTGACATACGAGCAAATTGAGTTATGAGCTAGGTCACGGAACGGATTACTCACAAGTCAACGTTCCACTGTATTGTTAAAAACATTATTTACTACCATATAGTATTAAGGTATTGTACATTTTCCACAGACAAGATATGCACATGTTTATTTAGGGCTAGGTTGTGCTGTCACCTTTCCAGTAAATAATATATTCCCCTAACACTTAAAGGTAGGTGCTTTGATGCTTACAAAGGGCTCTACACCTGAGAAATTGGAGCTACTCTCCTTCCTTGAAGCAGATCTGATTACCTCTCATTTCCCTGGCTCTGCATGACTATAAATATAATACTACTATAATGTAGGTTCTTAATCCATATGCAGGTATTTGAATATGACTTGAGACAGGTCAAAAATCATTTGGATATTTGTTTGTAAATATTTGTGTGCAAACTGGGAAGCTTGTAATTTTTAATTTGCAGTGAACACTTAAATTATATTTAATTCAGTGAATGTTGCTTGGCTTTTGTTTTTACATTTGTCACATAGTCTTTCTAATTTTCTGGAAATTAGTAGTATATAAATAGTTGTTTAACAGTGAAATTGTGTGATAAAAACAAAGATTACTTCTCACAAAATACCTTTGCGATCCCAACAAAAATAGCATCAAATAATCCAATGTCATGTTCTCTACTGAAGAAGTGTTCTAAACAAAGGTGTTGAATTTCAGGGAACTGCAAATTTAACTGCTTCATTTTTGTGCATTGTATAAGAAAGCTAATTATATCTATTGAATCTCAATGGCCATTTCCCACTGAAGTGGTTTAAACCTGAATTGACTGATTTTTTAATTTGCTATTTTTAACTGTGTTAATGTTTTCTGCATTTTACTTTTCAGGTGAACGTGATCCGTTAGAATCGGTCAACAGTGTCCTATTTACAATTTCTGTGTACCAAAAGTTGAACACTGCTGCTTTTTGTTTGATTAGGAACCACTAGTTCTTGCATGCAATAAATAAATTAGATAAAAAAATGCTTGTATTCATATATCCTTCAGATTTAAATATAAATGGAATTTGATGGTATCGCTAAAATTTTGCTGTATCTGCATCTGACACAATACTACTACAATAAGTCATTAGGTGTGTTCTAATATGAAAGAGAAGGTAAGTAGGTATTTTGAGTTATAAAAAGTGCTCTGACTAGGTAGCTCATTCTGTGCCATTAGCAATAAGGTAACAGTAAAAAAAAAAGTTAGCATTAATAAACCACCACAGACAATTACCAATTTAAAACAACTAACATCAGTTAAAAACTATTAATTGTACATTTCAAAAAGATTGGTTTGATATTCCTATAGGCACCCAAGTAATTTTAAAAGGTACAGGTCTGCCAACGCAAATTCGGCGTCATTGGGACCTGTAGTGTGCCGGATTACTGAGTTTGCTAGATTACAGAGTGGTTAGGTTAGAATACAGTGGAACCTCAGATATAGAACTTTCTTCGGTCCAGAAGGCTGTTCAAGTGTCGCTACCGAACGAATTTATTTATGGCCAAGAAGTTAACTCCATTATTCGTAGTGTGATTTCTTTCATTTTTGGTATACATACGTTAAGCATCTTTCCATCATACATTGCCCAAGTTTCATTAAGATAGTTCGACAAACAATTTTGGTATATGTTAAGTATCTTTCCATCATACATTGCCCAAGTTTCATTAAGATCAACAAACAACTGAGAGAAAAATAATAATTATAATAATTATTTACTACAAGTACATGTACATAGTACACAGGCCTAGCTGACATCAGTGACATACTACTAGTATATAAAAAGCCCCTTGTTATGCTAAGCATTTCAGGCAAATTAGGTCAGTGTCCCAGGATAACACCCACACCAGTCCACTAACACCCAGGTACCCATTTACTGATGGATAAACATAGACAACAGGTGTAAAGAAACATGCCCAGTGTTTCTACCCTGCCTGGGAATCGAATATTTACCAAAAATCATATATGGCTAGCCCAAGCCAGGTACTAGAAATAAGCCACTTTGACTTTTTTTGGGGGTTATCCTAGGTTCTCTACACATATGCTGCTGTGTATGATAATCTATGTAGAGGTAATAGCTTTTTTGTTTGTTTTATGGTGCAGCACGATTGAATATCAGTTAGCCATGTGTTATACTCTGTTTTCTGTAATATAAGCCCCCAAGACAGGGATAGGAGAATGGTACTTGTATTCCATGCTCTCTTCATACCTTTGTCGAACTGCTCGGTATTATGCCAAATATTATTCATTCTGGAGTATTTAATATGTTTTTATGTTATTTATATTGTTTATTATGTCATATTAGATAAATTGTGATAGGCAAATAAGCTGTAGTGTTGATATTAGTGTAATAATAAAGCATATTCCCCTGCATCACGAGACTGAGCTTATAGCTTTGAAGCCAGTGGCTTCAAAGCCACCTCATTTTTAATGTACTGTGTAGGTGCTTTACACAATGAGAAGCATTTCTTTTATTTGTTGGAACCATGGCTAGGGCTAAAAGTAAGCAGGTTATAACAATAACTGGAGAAAAAGAAATTGGAATTACTTGTGCAGCAAGTAGTGTCACCAAACAGTACCAGCAGGTTGGTGTGGTGACCCTCGAAATTTGAAATTATGCTAGCCGAAATTAGTGCCAAATAACTGATGGAACCTGATATCTGATTGCTGGATTTGTGATAGCGGACCTGTACAACAAAAAGGTCGTCTCAAGTCATTGGTAAATAAAATGTGTTCCACAGTTAGCTGCATGCCATAAAACTACAGAGATGGGGAGGAATGGTGTAGGATCACCTGCAAATAGGTGGCTATGGGCAAGATCCCCTCAAGGAAGGTTCCTTGATGTTGGTGAGGGGCTCTTGATTTAGGGAATTGGATCTGTGCTCCAGTTCCCCAAATTAAGCCTGAATGCCTTCCACATCCCCCCCCCAGGCGCTGTATAATCCTCCGGGTTTAGCGCTTCCCCCTTGATTATAATAATAATATGGGCAAGATCCTTTGAAGGGAAGGCTCCTTGTTATGAAGGGCTCTTGATCTGAGGAATTGGACACTTGTCTCCTTCCTTGGATTGAATTTAAATCTCTCTCCCAATTTCCTTTCAGCCTCGTTATTTGGGAATATTTTCCCTCTCCGGAGTTTCAGCTCCTAGACAGAGGGAAAACAGATTGTTGTCCATCCCATACCACTGGGACCTTGGTGGTGCTATTTTCTGTGGGAATTTGATTCTGGGGACTTGTGTCCTTGGGCGATGGAAGTAGTCCTGGTGGTAGCCAAAGGGGTATGACTTGGCGTGTTTCCGGTTACTTGCCTCTTGTTAGCTGATGCTGTATGACCCTGGTTGGTTTAGTGCTTAGTTTTGATTATTATAATCTTGTTAGCTGAGCCTGGTTCGATTGATATGGGAAATGCGATCCTGGAATGCTGGTTTACTGGCATGAAGGGTAGGGTATGGAGCAGTCCCCATCTTGCATTAGCATTACTGGCTGTACTGAGGGAACTCTTGGATGTGAAGAAGGATATGCAGTTCTTTCCATCCTTTCTAGGAGCTGCCCCTCTACTCCTCCCTCCCTTTTTTTTTTATATCATGACTAGTCATATTCATGATTCATCTCCTGGGCCCTTTGTTGGAGCACAATTATCTGTTCCAGCACATTCATGGAACTTCCTTTGAACCCACCATATATTTTTGGGCAATGCTTCATTACCTGATTGGTACCAGTGTTCATGCTGATCCTTTTAATACTTCTGACCTTTATGTTGACCATACTCCTGGCTTCTCACACAACAGTGCATTAATTTTCATATTCACATGTCACAGGACACTGGATCAAAGCTATCGTCTATATGACCTCGACTTGTACTTGACGATCCTGACACACTTGCTGACACTTCTTGTCAGCAAGTGTAGTGCCAGAGTGTGTGCATAGTTCCTTTGTATAAAGGCAAAGTCAATACTGACACAGTACTGACTGTCAGTACCGTGTATTATACCAGTAACCGTTACTGATTCACTGCCTCCCTGCATGAATCACTGACCGTTACGTGACTCGCTGCTGACCTAGCATGACATCACGAGCTCTTTGTATGTTGTACCCTCCAGGCATTGAGCAGGGCAGTTCAAGACAAGGCATAGTAGAGAGTTGGTTTAGAAAGACACGTAAGCAAACACTATAACATATTTATTAGAAAACGTTTCGGTCCTGGGACCTTGATCACTTCTAACATACAGAGGTAGGAAGACATTATATATAGGCGGAGAGTGAGGTGTGACGCACGTGACCTGAGGAATGTCATAAGAACATAATGGAGGAACACTGTAGAAGGCCTACTGGCCCATGCGAGGCAGGTCCCCATCAAATGGGCAGGTCCCCATCAAAAACAACCTCCGCCCATGATGAGGACAGGCAGACGATGAAATCACGTGACTCCTGTGTTGTTGGGTTGGTGCTGCCCTTCTCAACAAGATCAATGCAGTTGAACCATCAATAAAGTTTACACTTGAACTCGAAAATGATGGCAAACTTCCTTTCCTCGACGTTCTACTGTGCAGATCTCCCGACAGTGACAAACTTCTCTTCAAAGTGTATAGAAAACCTACCAACAAGGACGATCTTATACACTTTTATTCACACCAAGACACCCGCACTAAGAGAGGAGTCATCATTGGCTTCTTGAGAGCTCTTCGCATCTCCAGCCCTTGTTTTCTAGAAGAAGAATGCACTTACATAACACAAGCCTTTACACGTCTTCAGTTCCCATCTTTCTTCATCCGAGATTGCAGACCCAAGGCACAAGCTATCCTCAACAAACCGCCCATGGAACAGCCCCCTAAACAGTTCATAGTACTCCCACGTGGCGATGTTGCCACGAATACTCGCAGGGCACTTACTATGAGTAACATCAACGTTTCCACCATAAACACATCATCTATCAAAGACCTCACTACGAAACGCAGCCCCACACCTCTAACTTCTACAGCAGGCATCTACGCTATCCCCTGTGGGTTCTGTTCCAAGAAATATGTAGGCGAGACAGGCAGAGATCTTGCAGTCCGCCTGAATGAGCATCGAAATGCCTCGAACAGAGACGATGTAAGGTACGCATGTGTCCTCCACAGAGACTCCACGGGGCATTTGATGAACTGGAATGAGGCACAACTCGTTCTCACCGAACCAGACCTCAGACGCTGACGGTGCCTAGAAGCCTCACTAATCGCCGTCACCGACACTATAGAACGCAACACTGGAAACTACAAAATTTAAAAAACATTGGCATACATGATACTTAAGCAGCACCAACCCAACAACACAGGAGTCACGTGATTTCATCGTCTGCCCGTCCTCATCATGGGCGGAGGTTGTTTTTGATGGGGACCTGCCTTGCATGGGCCAGTAGGCCTTCTACAGTGTTCCTCCATTATGTTCTTATGACATTCCTCAGGTCACGTGCGTCACATCTCACTCTCCGCCTATATATAATGTCTTCCTACCTCTGTATGTTAGAAGTGATCAAGGTCCCAGGACCGAAACGTTTTCTAATAAATATGTTATAGTGTTTGCTTACGTGTCTTTCTAAACCAACTTGTCGGTATTTATTACCAAGGTTTATACCATAGTAGAGAGTGGTCAGGTCAGGCGCCAGGCTCTGAGTGCTCTCCCTTATTTTACCACTAATATAAGTTATCAAGCCATCAATCGTGCGTGTTTATTCCCAAATTCATTCAATTGAACCCTCACGACAATTTGTGGCAGTGGTGGGATGACTGGCTGAGGCTCTGCCCTAGACTGCCCTAACTGGATGGCTTAATTGCAAAACCCGGATCAACTCCTCGAAAGTTAAAGCAATTTAAGCCCATAAGCCATGGAGCGTTGTAGACAATTGTAGGATGCTGGCATTCTTGGGAAGAGGTATGGTGGGCTGGCTTAAGATGCCACACACTTACCCAATGACCCGGCGCTGGTGTGAAACAAGTCTTCTTTTCTTTGTTAATGGCTGAAATACCCT